TCGGGCCTGGTGCACTGGGAAGACCCAGAGGGATCGGGTGGAGAGGGAGGTGGGAGGGGGGACTGGGATGGGGAATACATGTAAATCCATGGCTAATTCATTTCAATGTATGACAAAAACTACTGTAATGATGTAAAGTAATTAGCCTCCAACTAATAAAAATAAATGGGAAAAAAAAGTGTAAAAAAAAAAAAAAAAAGAAGTGAAGGGCAGGTATACGTGTAACATCCCTTTGGTATCATCATTCAGTTTGAAATGTGGATACTAATGTTGTGATGCAGCTTTCTTAGACTGTCTGACTCCCATTGTGATGCTTAAGGTCTGTGAGTCATTCTTTCTGATAGCCTCCAGCTTCTCACTTCAGAGTAATGGAAACTGGAATTTAAAAAAATCGAATGCAATTATTTGGGGAATTTGCTGGCAGTGCAGTTTTAGCGAAGTTTCAGGAAAGCATGCTACAAATCTGAATTTTATTAAACTGATATTTTTTGGTTTGATATGTGTTTTATATTGCAACATTTACAATTCTTACGTGAGTTCTATTGTTTTGTCCTAAACATTATTTTATTGAGGAAAATTTCAAAAATTAAAAAAAAATGGGATAACAGAAAGATTATAATTCTAAGCAAGCAGTTATTTAAAAAGATATTTTTTTGTGTTTGGATTGTAGGAATATTGTAATACAGTCCAACTAGATTCTGGGATAGATTATCGGAAGAGGGAGCTTCCTGCTGCAGGAAAACTCTACTACCTGTAAGTTTTTTTTTTTTAATTTTAATGTTCTTAAGTTTAATATCTAATAATTTATCAGGAAAAGATGAGAACAATAAGCAGGGTAATTATTAGAACGTGAAAGGCTAATTCTGAGGCCTGTGATTTTTCAAATACAAAATGTTGTAATGTTAACTTCTTTAAACTGTGTTTTTTGCCATCCACATTTGCATGATTTATAATGTGTGATTGGAGGAAACCCTAATTAGTTTTTCAGGGAGGAGTGATGACAGATGGTTAGAAAGTAATGAGTATCCTCTTATAAGAAACTCTAGTATTAAGAGAATATCTTTATTGTGCTAAAGTAATTAATTATTTGTGGACATCTTCTGACAAATGTGTCATTTCTGTTCCCTGAAAATTGTGTTTTATTTTGTCAGACAATCTGTTTGTATTTATCACTGTTGATTGACTTCCATACGTAGCTATGTAAAATATATATACACAAGTACAACTGGATGTATTTTGTCTTCTAGAAGCTCATTCTCCCAAGTAGGAGCAATTTATAATAATAGATGTAGTCAGCTCGTATAGTTAATGCTAAAAACAAATATAGTTTGTTTTAAAATGTCATTTGTGAGAACCTGAAAAGGAAAAAGTTGCTTTACCAATGCAAAGTGTGTTTAGCATATGCAGCTAATGTTGGACACATAGTGGGTTCTCAGTAAATAGATCTGTTTAAGGGCTAATTGTGATTTAACTCAAAGGCATGTTTCTGCTAATTTAAATTTTGATGACAACGTGCGTATGAGAGGTTCAGAAAAGTTCTCGTCTCTGCCACCTTGTAAGCAGAAGTACTTTACTGTTTTTGAAGCAGAAATTAGCTAGAAAAATCATATAATTAAAATTGCATACTTTACAGTGTACCAAGGGGACTATTTCAGTTTATTATTCAGATTCTGATGATTATTATAGAAGGTTCTTCATCTGCCCTTAAGTACTTTGTCTTTAAAGTACTTTATAATTTTGAAAAATTCTTAGAGCACTTTTTTTTCTGCTTTAACTAGGACTTTTTCCTCTACATTTCTTTTATCTTTGGACTTTCCTGTCTTTTACTTTTCTGATATTCACAAGATTTCCCTGAAGCTTTGCTACCTATTTCTCGATATGCCAGATGTATGGTACTTAGATATTAATTTATTACTATTCCTTTAATTTTTTCAACAAATCCTTTTTCCCTCTTTTCCCACAAAATATATCCTTATGTCAAAGAATTAAAACATTTTCCTAAAAGGAAATCCCCTCACTAAAGATGGTTGTCTAAGTCATGAAATTTGTTTCTTGGTCCTTGAGAGGTCTCTGTGGAATTTACAGGAGGTCAAAAGTCTGCTTTTCTTTCAGCAGAGCCTCTTTTTCTCTGAGCTACTCTGTGTTGCCTCTTCCTCTTCCTGATGAGAGTAATACAATTCTAACACATCGAAATTCAGGTTTGTACTTTAAACATATACTGGAAGAAGTCAGAATCTAACAACATCCCAGAGTCCAGAAAATGAGAATGTACAAAGGCTACCATGAAACTCTGGAATAGCTTTCTTAAAAATATATAAACTCTTTAATCCTCAAAGAAAGATTTATTTATGAATTTAACATCAAAAGAACTTTACCGCAGTCTGATAATCAAGAATAGAGAGCCTGGGGGCATACCTCAGAGGGAAGGCAGATATGTGCACCAGAGAAGAATTAGGAGTTAAAGTTATCTCAAAAGTGGAAGAATAAAGATACCCAGATGGGATGCTAGGGTTTTCATTTATATTGTTGCACAGGAGCCTTTGGGTAGAACTTCTTTCATGAGAGAGTAAAAGAAAAGTTCCTGGTGTCGTGTTAACATTTCTGATTTAATTAGGTTTCATTTTATCTTGTTCCTGCAGAAAAATTTATTAATTTCCCCTCTATGACAGATTTTAATATGCCATGTTATTCATTGCCCTTTTACGATAGGAACCACCACTGCTGAGGGGTCCATAGGATGCTGCCCCTGACCATTTTGCTCTGAGTTCTGTGAAGGGTTATGTTTTCCTGAAGAGAGGGGATCAGATCACCTTAGACTCACCCTCGCTCTTTGTCTCTTTTCCTTTTTCATTCAGGATCTAAGTAGTACGGGTTCTTTTTTTCTGACTAAATCTGTTGAAGAAAGGTCCTGTTCAAACACTGTATCTCCACCATGCTCACATGCAAACACTGTGCCCCCAGCATGGAAGCCATGGCCTCAATGGGATATTTTAAACTGAACCAAAAAGGGTAGAGGCAGGTGTTGGGATTTGATTTTGGATTTGATTTTGCCCTACTTACGAAGTAATAGCTTTGCCTGTTTTGTTTCATGGATGCTGGCAGAAGACACAAGAAACCTGTGTCAGAGACAAAAGATATTATTACTCTAGGCACAGATAGCATGTTGAGTCAGTTCCCTTCTCGCTTCCTAGTCCCATTCGGGAGGGGAAGAGTTTTGCTGAGGGCCCAGATGGATGCCTGCACATGTAGTGAGTTGTGTTATAGGAGAGGGACTCTGAGTATAGGTAATGAACCACTTCATGGCCAAAAGTAAGCAAGACTACTTTTTGTCTCAAGGGAAATATTGCCTCATCCCTCAAGGCTTCTTGCTACAAACACGCCTTAAGAGATGGTTAAGGCCTTGCATTCTTGACGTACTCAGCAAGCTATGTAGGTGAGTGGGAAACTCAGAGAGTACTGTCTGCCCTCACAGGGGATGTTTACCAGACTTTTAACCTTTATTTATTAAATAAATTTTCCCTTTATTTCCCTTGATTCCTATCTGCCAAAGTCATCTACCACTTCAACAAAATTGCTTCTGACTGCTATTCAGTTATTTAATCCCTGAATTGTTTCAAGACCATTTCAGCTCCATGTATTTGGAAACTATGATCATACTGAAATGATGAAAATTTTATGTTACAACTCACCTACCAATGCAGAAGACGTAAGAGGCGTGAGTTCGATCCCTGGGTTGAGAAGATCCCCTGGAGGAGGGCATGGTAACCCACTCCAATATTCTTGCCTGGAGAATTCCATGGACAGAGGAGCCTAGTGGACCATGGTCCACAGGGCCACAAAGAGTCAGAAATGACTGGTGATTTAGCACAGCACAGCACAGCATATGTGTTACAACTTTTCAGGCACAGACCAAATATTCACATATTTTTACCTGACTAATACAGTACATGTATTCATCCGTCTTTTGAACAGTTTTAAGGAGTTTATTCTTAAATACTTCTACCAATGGAAACTTCATGTCCCAAGTGCTCTTAATTTTTCACTTAGGAAACATCTATTCCAAATAGGAAATTACTTCTAAGAATATATCTTTGAGCATCATTTAAAAAAATGTTTGCTGCTAAAAACACACAGCTTCAAGGTTAGAGCTCTGTTTTAGAAGAAAGGTCTGTGAAAAAAAAGACTGGAACTCATCCATGTTGAAACTTACTCCCTTGCAATTAAAAACTTCTTGTGTTTGCCTCTGATATTCCCTACACATGTTCCCCTGCCCCCCAACTGGGACAACCATTGATGAAAAAAAGCATTTTCTTAGCTCGATTGTCACATCTTCTCATCCCTAAAACTTCAACGGAGATCTGTCCTCTGCCTGAAAGGTTGCCACCTTCTGGTTCAGCAGAATCTCTAGGGCATCTTGGGGCCTTCTCCCCATCCTCCATCATTACCATTATAGATGTTTCTGTCACAGACATTGAAATCTGCAGTTTCAGTCTTAGTTTTTCTCACCAGATATCAACCCAGTCATTTCCTATTTCACTTCCCACTGAAGAACCTCTGAAATATCTGCCAACAGTAGCAACTTGAAAATTGCTAAGTAGGCCGCCTCCTGTTTAGACTGTGATTTGTTTCATTTCCATGAACTAGACTTCCAAGGTCCCTGCAGTAGGCTCTGTGCATAACTTGACTGAGACACTTGATCTCTGGTCACCTACAACAAAGTTTTTATAGACTGATGCTAAACCACGGGCCTGTTGTACTTTCTCTAAATTCTCTCATGTGTCTTTTAGCGTATTTAACATTCTAGTTAGTCTTACTTCTGATGCTAGTGCATGGTGTCACAGTGGAGCTGTGTTGGTCTTGAAGAGAAGATGCCACATATTTAAAGAATATGAAATTTGTTTAGCACCAAAGGTATAGAAACATATCCATATGGAGACAGGCAATACAGAAGACAACAAAGCGTATTCTCATTGAAACTGAGATGAAGCTGATAACATAGCCCCTGATCAGGATGAGGATCCCAGCAGGTTATGTTTATCATTCTTGGTTGAGTGGTTTAGAGAGACTCTGGCTATGTGTCTGCCTGTTCACCAGGTGGTGTTGTGTTTTTAGTCGTTCAGTCATGTCCGACTCTTGTGACACCATAAACTAGCCTGCCAGGCTCCTCTATCCATGGATTCTCCAGGTAAGAATACTAGAGTGGGTTGCCATGCCCTCCTCCAGGGGATCTTCCCAACCCAGGGATCGAACTCAGGTCTTCTGCATTGCAGGTGGATTCTTTACCATCTGAGCCACCAGGGAAGCCGTTCACCAGGTGCAATTACCAGACATAAATCCTAGGACATGCCTGAGTGTTCACTGTCAATCAGTGTGAATCAAAGTTCAATTTGTTGTCCTTCGTTAAGACTAGACTAGGCCTTCCTGGGGCAGAGGACAGAATTTCTGCCTTTGGCAGTTAGAGAAACTGTCTAGTTTAATGAGGTTTAGGCTGTTGATCTGGTCATTTCTTAAGTCTGGGGAAGGGATAAAGACTGTTGGGGACATTTTTGATGTTTACAGATTAAATTTTATTCTTAGACTTATGACACAGAACATATAGGTTTATCTACTGAAGTCATCAACATAGTCATAAACTATGTGTCAGTCACTCAGTTGTGTCCAACTCTTTGTGACCCCATGGACTGTACAGCCTGCCAGGCTCTTCTGTCCATGGGATTTTCCAGGCAAGGATACTGAAGCAGGTTGCCATTTCC